TGGTTGCTGTCACCTTCAAAGAGAGTCGGAATTTGCTAAGAGTGGTAAGTTTTCCTTGGTTGTTTTGTTTGTGGGAGTATTCACCCCCTTTTCTCTTGAACCGTTCTGGGAGGGAGGGAAACATCTCGGTTGTGTTCTACACCAACCTTCTTTGTTTGTCCTAGAGTAAATACCACTAAGGCCTCCAGCTCCTAACAGCAGTGCTGTCCTTATCCTAGGGGCAGGTTCTACTGCAGAGCGTTTCCTTTCATCCACCCTAAGAATGTGCTTACCATTGGATAGTTCAAAAGTACAAAGTATAGTCGTAATACCTATACTTTGTGTAAGAACATCTATTTGAAACTATTCAAAACAAAATCTTGTGGCTTTTCTCTCTTCCTTCTTCCCTGCTAATCCCATGTTCTCTTTTTGGAAAATGGGAAGAGAGAGGAAAATGTGAGAGACCTGTAACAAAACTGGCTTTTAATGGCAGTAGGTTCAAGCCAAATTAACATACTTTTTCACTTGGTTGTCAAAAATCAGAACATTTCCAATTAATATTTTCTTTAGTTGCAAAAAAATTATTTTAGTTTTGCTTCCACAAAAAAAACCACACAGCTTTGATAATCTGCTGCTTCTTTTATGCCTTTCCCCATGTTACTTCCTGAGCTCCCTGCTCACCCACCTACACTGAAGTTTTTGACCAGCCCCAGGGTTTCTATTCTGCTTCCTCCCTCTCAAATCTCCCTTTCAGTCTGGAGTGTGGCAGCAGTCCCTTTTAGTATCTAGGCTACAGTGGTGAGTGCAGTGACTGAAATAACAATCTGTGGCTCTTTGCTTTCACAGTTGCAGAAAAGGATACTTCAGCAACCCTTCACCAGCTCCTTCCTTTGTAAATCCTCATTCACCTGACTGTCCTATTTCCCCTCTTTCGTTTGGATAGAGGAGCAGAAATAGGAGTTGTGAGCAAGCCTGATGCTTGTACCACTGTTTTGAAGGCCTGGTAATCCCTGTGAGAGGCAGAGTAGGGCCAGGAAGGGAGAATAAAACACAGAGGAGGACACAGTGAGTGCATTGCTGATGGTTGTTCATTAGGCTCCTGGTCTGTGGCAGTCTGTTTTGGCCTTGCTTCACTTGCTGTCCATGCCAGAGAGATCTCCCTTTGTGTTTTTGACTCAGCCAGAAGCTACGGATGAAAATCCGGTGGGGTTTTCTTTGTTATTCTGCCACAGAAAACTAATAATTGTCTCTTGGGAACAAAAGGTCACTTTGTCTCCTTACACCACGCGTCCTTTCGGAGTGGCTGGTCGTGACAGGCCTATTGTCTCTTCTTGCTTGTGCTCTGCTTTGGTTGCCGGTGAGTAATCTGCACAAGAGATAGGTCTGTGCTTGCCAGGGCTGGGTGAGCCTGGCTGGGGGCCTTTGCCAGCTCTGAGCTCAGACAGTAATCCTGACAGCTTCACAGTCAGTGCCCTGGGGTCTGTGCCAGCCTGTCCCAATTTCTCTCTGTACCAGAGGCCCACGTAAATATGGGAGGGAGCGCTGTAAGCAGCACTCTCCGCTCTCCCCAGTGCCTCCTTGGTGCTTTTAAAAATCAATTGTTGACAACTTTGGGTGCTGTTTGTAAAATGCATATCTGGTTTTTAGTTTGTTTTTCTGTTGAAGACTCAGGCACCTGTGAATTTTTTTGCTGCCTTTCTACCTATGAGTTCTATGGGCCCACTTCAAGGCTTTTCGTAGTATTTCATTGCTCATCACTCACAGTTCTACTTTTTTTATGTCATTGCTTATTTGCCTTCCTCGTGTCCCTCCTTAGCCAGGTGATGGCGCTGAGACTTGGGCAGCAGATGTGGAGTTTCTCTGGCTCTGTGCGCAGGCATGGCAGTGGATCTGCAGCCTGGCTGGCGGTGATGCTGCAGTCCAGCTCTTTACAAGCACACAAACCACTACTATATTATACTTCAGTCAAGATGCACGCTTTCATACACAAAAGTATGCAAGCAGGAGTCTCAGGGAAGGACCCATCAAATAGAAGACCTTGCATGTAAAGAAAGAAGGTGGCTTTCTTCAGGCTTGGCCCATCACTCTGCCGCTTCTAGTTAGCTACCTTGGATAGGGAGAAGGGAACACATATCGGTTATGGTTTCTGTTCCTGCTGCATTTCAGCCTGGAGCCGTCCCACTGAGGTGAGATTGCTGATTTAGGAGTGTAGTTGCTATATATTTCTTCTTCAGGTAGTAAAAAGATCTCTCCAGAGAGCGATTTGGATTGTAGGCAGGTTGAACCATTCTTTGGGTTATTCAGAGAAAACACACTGAAGCTTAGTGCTTCACTTAAACACTTGAAGCTGGATGGAAGAAATCTGGACCCCGTAGATCTTGAGGAGACACCAGATAGTCCTGACTCTGGCTTGGAGCCAGAGTAAGAGTAGATTTTGCCCAGAGCCAACCCAGGTCCAGGCATGTGTCTACTACTGGCCTTTGGGTGATCCCACATTTCTGACTTGCTCCGCAGCCTCTTGGGAAGCGAGTAAGGCATGTTACTGCAGCTCCGTGCCAGAGCTGGCTTACTCCTCCCAGAGCAGACCTCTGTAAGAAAGCCCTGCAATTCCTGATGAAGAGCAAGACAAGCAGCCCTGTGCTTTGTGTGTGTCCAGAGTGAAAGCTGCTGCTCCCCTATGTCAGCATGATACTTGGAAGTGGCCCTGAGGGAATGATGAAACTGAGATAAGGATAATGAGGCAGTGCATCAGCAGAGACAGGTTGGATCCTTGGGTGGCAGATGCACTAACCTCCCTTAGAAGGTTTTACAAGGGCCTTGTGACTCAAATTTTTTAAGGTCTGCTGGATACATGTTTGTTTCTATCCACCGTAAGCCAGCACAACAAGCCGAGCTGTGGTGACACAACAGTTCTACCTGAATGCCTCTGACATGACGACACAGAGCAGGGAAAAATAAATACAAGAAAGTTCCCAGTTCATTGGTTGTTCTCAGCATCCTGCCACCCTCCTGCCCCCCTCCTTGCCAGAGAAGTGATGTCAGAGCAGTTAGGGTATAACTAGGTCCCAACAAAAGAAAGCCAGCCTTTTTGTCAAGGCATGCTGATCCTTTCTTGCCCCCTTTCAACCTCCTGTGAGTGTTGGGACCAGCCTTTAGCTATCCCGCCCTCGGCTGGGTGACTCATTCCCCTGGTATGAATGAGTACCTTGTACAGGCTATGGCAGAGATGGTCAGTGTTCAGCCATGGGGGAGAGTGTGGGGCTGGGGAGTGAAAGCCTGAGATTGTGTGCCCAGATTAAAGCCCAGTCTGCAGATAAAACCCAGCTGTCCATCCTTTGCAGCTGCTGAATCCCAGCAGGGGTGAAAGAGGAAGCCTGAGTGTTGGCATCTGTGTCATTTTACTCCTGCAAAGGGTCTTGGAAATGCCTATCGAAGAAGGATGCACAGTGGGATTGTAACCCTTGTACAACAAAAGGCATCCATGCTGTGTAGGTCACCTTGCTGTGTCCAGGTCTTCACTGTCCTTCTTTGTGCCAGGGAGAGATGGTTAGACGTCCAGTTACATTTGTAGGGAGCTGTTTGCTTCATCCCTTGGGAACAGCCGTTTCTTAAGGTCAGGGGTAAAACAGAAAATGGGAGATACTTCATTTGTTCTGTCCTGGGGAGGCCAACTCTTACAGGGACTTAGCATGAGGTCCTTGTTATGGCTGGAACTGGTGTCTCTTCAGCTTTATCTACAGAAAGATGAATTTAACAGCAGTCACAGAACAGCCTGGATCTGTAAAGAAACTGTTCATTGCTGACCAGGAGCAAGGCAGGGGCTGTGTGTCAGAATAGGGGTTCTCCCTGAAAAGCTCTCATTGACCCTAAGGAGGAAGTGGCCACATCACCCTCTGTCTTCAGACCTGCCCCAGTCCTTTTAATCTAGTATATAAGGTTTGGCTTACCTTCCTGTTTGTCTATAGGAACAGTGCTCCCAAACAGTTTTCTGTACTGTCCATTTGATTCTCCTTGTGGTAAGCAGGGCACACCCCTTTCCATTTCACTGCCATTAAGCCCTTTTAAGAAATAGTCATGTTCTCTTCTAAGAGCTCTTCTCACTTTGGTTTTGAGATACTGAGACTTTTTCTCTAGATCCTAGTTCAGCAGAAAATATGGTCACAATCCTGAGTGTGAATCATTGCTAAAGTCTATCCACTTCAATAGTGCCCTTCAGCCTGTGGTTGAGCCCCACAGAAGTTACTGGGAACATAAATCTATGGTATATGCTTATGCTTAGCTGGTCTGCCATATCCTTGGTGAAATGGGCCCTTTGTTGCTTTATTTAATCATCATTACAATATACATTGCTCCTTAGTAACTTGGTGAAATGCCCTGAACAATATCAAAACAAGCAAAAGTTTCAAAGTTTTTTGTATTGATGTCAGATGTTTCTATGATACTGAGTGCAGTCATCAGGTTACCCAGCAACCACTTTCTTTTGTCCAGTGATCTTATCTCAGTTGCTTGCACTTTTCCATTCTCTACATCCCTCTGGCTCTGTGAGTTAAACTCACACTTGCTGCTGCTTGTCTTCAGTTATCCTGTGGTTTGGGTTTTTTTTAACCTGTGGGATTGTTCCTTTCCTACCCTATTGAGGTCTTAATCCCAGCTCCTGCCTTTGAACACTGCTGCAGAAAAGCATCAATGAAGATGGAGTCATGCATTTTACCAGCTAATGAAAAGCTGGCTGCCAGCATCTCCTTACATTCTGTTCTAATGTCCTGCTTTTCCCATTATTTTACAGTACTTCATATTATTGCTATGCATCTTTCTCCTGGAGATCATTGCTGGAATCCTGGCCTATATCTACTATCAGCAGGTGAGTGGACATTAGTCCTTAGAGACTCAAAGCAGGGAGAAGAAAACAACTGGTTATCATCCCATTTCTCCAGCCAGAATTGAGCCTGGAGGCTTGGGACCTGGGGTCTGGTTGTGGTTCACCTTTCCACATGTCTGTACTCACTCCCCTCCCCATACAGAAGACCTTGGATTATTTACTGTTTTTGACAAAGTGGTGGTGGTTATGGTAAGGGAGGCTGCTCAGCCTTGCTGCTCAGCTCCTTCCTGTGGTTCACCTTTGTGTGCTGTTTTTCTGCAGAGCCTTGTAGAAGACAATTTTTGAGGCTGTGTAGAGCTAGGAACTCTCCTAACGCCCTTCAAGGCATAGTGCAAGCAACTGAAATCACGTTAGTGCCACTTAGTATGTTCAGGACATAGGAACAGTTCCTGCTGCATCCAGCAAGCTAGCTGCCATACTTTTGAACTGGCAAAGATAATGAATGGTCCAGCTGAGAGGTCCTTTCAGGTCAAGAAGTTTTTGAGAGCTTTATTTAATCAGCCCAGCTGAGGGGCTGGAGAACAGCACAGACTCCCAACAGCTGCAGTTCTAGCTTGGCACTTTTTGCAGTTGCAGAGAGCAGAGGTTTAAGTCATCGCTTTGTTTTAAGAGGGAGTTTAACCACCAAGGCACGAACAGCCTGCAAAGTTGCTCTCATGTCTAGAAATTGATTGGAAATGGCAAATTAGGATTGTTGTTAAGTGGCTGTCTGAAAAGCAGCTGGACATCCCATCTTGTTGACTTTGCTGCCAGGATTCCTTGCCATTCCTTTTTCTCTTGGGCCTTCTGTGCTTTGCCTCACTAAGATGGGCACTGGCAGTTTGCGAGGAGCCAAAGAACTGTGCTGGCTCCTGCCAGGAAGGATCAGTGCTATGAGTATACGTATCTAACAGGGAAAGATCAGTCTTGGCAGGCAAGGCAGGAAGCCAGGGTCCATCCATCCACGCATGCAAAGGCACAAGGTTCATCTATGACAATGGATGAAGAGGAACGGATCCTTAGGTTGACATAAGGGACAACATAATTCAGAGCTGTACCCTCGAGCGCTTTGATCAGAGATTTGAGGGCGTCTCTGATCAATAGCTGCACTTCCCCTTGCCCTCTGGCTGCAAATCCCCCTTCTTTCCTCATTGCAGGCTGCTTGCTTTGTTTGGCACTGTTTTTATTTCAGCCCTTGCTTTGGTGTCTAAGGCTTGCAAGTGTGTGTCTAAACTGTTTCTTTTGTTATCTCTATTCCATGCTGCAGTTCTTCCCCGTGAGCCCGCAGGTAACTGCTTTTCTCCCAAGTAATAATTCTGCTAATGGACTCTCCTCTTTATTTGCCTCTGATGCCTTCCAGCTGCTGA